CAAATTACAACATTGACATTTTTTTGAAATATCTCCCCCACCGTTAATATGCACATTTTCTGCAATTATTGCATTTGCAAGTAGAAGTGCTTCAAATGACTTCAACAAAGACTTGAAAACTCAAAAACATTCTCAGTGAAAAAGAGCTTCAAATTTGGGATTTACAGTGATGCTTAAACAATATTTTCTTAAAAAAACTCCAAATTTTTCAATAAAAATTGCCAATCTTCTTCAATATTCTTAAAGTAATATTTCAATATTACCACTAGCAAAATGAAAAACTGAGAAAATTTCAAAAAATGTTCTTTGGGTACATTGGCTGGCAAGGATATGTGGTAAGTCTGAAAAGCTAACCCAGACCACAGAAATTAGAAAACTAATACGAGAAAGTCTGTACCATTCTGTACCAACACTAGCTCCACTTGCTATCATTTTGGATACATACATTCTTATTCTTGGGAATGCCTTATCAGACTTCTCATCCGATAAACAAACCTGTACACAATTTTACGCACACACAGAAAACTGGAAAATCTTAAGCATATGTCTAGAACCAACAAATTCTCAAACAAGCAGCTTATATTCAAAATAAATTCAACTTTAAAGATTGTTTGTGACATTTGAAAATGAAAATTCATATGTAGATCACTGTAACTTTTTTTAGATTCTTAATTGTATTTTGGAGTATGAACAAAAATATCTGTTTGTAATTTTTGCAGTACCCTTCCCAATCATTCATTTGTAAAAATATTTTATATCTGAAGATGTAAAAATTTGTGAACGGGGGAGGGGCTTAGAGGAGGAGGAGGAAAAATCATTGCCCCTTGGTCATCATTTGCTCTTCAGGCCACGTACAGGTCGCCTACAATTACAACATCTGTAGAACCTACAGGTGCACGATTCATACTGTATATCTAAGTATATCATGATATTTTTCCGTTCACTCTTTATTCATGGAGATTTCTACATGAATAAAGTACCTAAAATCACCTCTTGCTTTCCTTAGCTGCCATTTAAGTGATATTAAATAGCTTTAGAATACATGGATGTGCATGCCCTCTGCAGTGACGACTATGGAGTGCTCATCAAAATTACCACACCGAAGACAATTATTGTGAATAAAAAGTAAGGTTTTCATCTTTATTGCAATTGACACTAACGTAATGATGTGTATAATTTTCTAATATAAAAATAACTTAATTAAAATAGTGTTTAACTTGTTTTTGAACTCAATTTCTTATGTTATTAATATCAAAAAAATCTTTTAAACTATTAATGAAAACATAAGTTGAATCTTCATATAAAAGTGAAAGATAGTTTCTTTAAAATAAAAAAGAATCTTGCATCTGTGTTTATTGGTTTAGAAAATATGACCCTTCAAATATAACCCAAACCTTACGACCTGTGCTGGAAGAAGATTGGGCTATAACTTGAAGGTAAGGGAAATAGGATGATAAAAATGAAATGGAAATGGAGGAGTCACTGTCACAAATTTTAGGGAAATTTTAAGCATTCGAAATTCTTTAATTTTAACCAAGGCAAAACATATGCTAATTTGGATTGTTAAATGATGAGGCGAGGCACGGCAAAGAAAGGTGAGTCAGAGTGGAGGTGAAGGCAAGGCTTGGATGTAAATAAAACTACTTTAATTTCACACTAAAGATAAAATTTGTTCTTTCTCCTCTCTATAATGACGGTGATCAATTACTGGGCAATGCCAGACTATTCAGTAAGCTATATAATAGAATGGAAAGAGCAAATAAATAAAGAGTAACTCCAGGCAACAACATTCACACAAGTAAAAAAATAATAAACGAAAATCTGTGGCAATTTGGAGCATATCAGATGGTTATTTTGACAAGATATTCACAGAAATTTATTTAAGATATGTATGTAATATGTGCCAGCATCTGAAAGGAGTTTTTTAGTGTGGTTCTTCACTCCATCTGTTACTTCAAATAATTTTCTCTTTTGAAATACAGTGAAACCTACAACTTTAACACAACCATCACCCTCCAGATCAACTTGTAGAACAGAATACCTTTCTTTTTCTACTACCAATGAAATTTAGTTCCCATTATTATGACCCCGCCACCCCCAAATAGTAACAACTAGTTTACATTTAAAAATTGCACTTCTCCCTCTTTAAATTAACCCCTTCTAATCATCTCAAAACAATATAAACATCCTTTTTAACAGTCACAAGGCTAGGATCTACAATGGACATGTTGGCATGGTAAGTGCCTACCTGCACCAAGCTTTTTTCTGGCACATAAGGTCCATCCTTTAACCTGACATAGCGATGTGAGAAAAATACTTCACATTTCTGCTTTTATTTCTATAGTGTGTACATTTCTGAAATTATGATGATGTTTTTTCAAGGAATGCCTTCTCTCATGTGGCAGGTCAGCAACTATGCCTATTTCTTATTAAAACCAACCCACAAACGTCAAATAGACATGTATAAATTGTACATAATCATACGAAATCATTTCCTATACTTATAAATCATCTATTTCTGAAGTATTATTAATCCTTTTCTCAGTTCCATCTTAAAACTTATGAGAACAGCAAACAAATAATGTGAGACTGTATAACTTGTTTGAAATGAACAAGTATGCCAACCCTGCAATGGATTTTAGATCAAGTTAAAAAACAAAAAAGAAAGGTCAAAAGTGTCTTCCTTACTCCATTAACTGTCACATTATCTTATTATTTGGTTCTCAAGAAAGCTTTTCTCCAATACTGTGTAATGTAACTGCTTAACCCTAGAATGCAGGGACCCAGGAAACTACATGTACACATATGCAGGGCCTCAGAGCCCCTACACAGTAAGTTCTCGAAAAATGCACTTAAAATTGTTTTTTTCTTAACGTGTTAGATTTACTTCATTTTCTAATAATTTCAATAAACAACTTAAGGTTAAACAAATGGTTATTTATTTAAATAACTGTTAATAGGGCCTTAAAAGCCCTTCTTATGCATTGACATAATAGAATGAAATTTCAGGACCTACCTATATAACTCCTAAGAATTTATCCTTTGCTGGTTACTAAAATGAAAGTAGAAAGATAGAAGAAAGATCAGAGGGGAGGGCAAGGGGGGGGGGAGGGGAGCAAGCTCTCAGAAATGCAGCTGGGCTCAGTAAAAACTGAAAAACGTTAGGGACTAAGAGACCCTGCATACGCATCCTAGGGTTAAAGAAGCCAGGAAATGTACAAGGAACGTTAAGTACAGCATATAGGCCAACATCAATTCAGTGTTCAGAGTCCGAGCACCAGTCTGCAAGGCCTCTAAAAAGATGTATTACCATATTTTCACACACAGTGTAATCTCTTCATAACAAAATTCAGGTACGATTATTTTCTTTCATTAGAGTGTTCTTGTTAAATAGAGTGAATGTATTAACATATGGTTCATAATGTTTATAATGGGTAATGCCTATGTTTAAGGGAATTTTTTTAAAAGAAGTTTGTTATGGAGAGCGTACCCTACAGAAGAAACACATCTGGGCTGAAAGATAGGGACTGTAATAAAAAGAGTATTGTGCAACCTGCTGGGCCATTGATGATCCTTGTCCGTCAAGGGCACGTACACCACTCCCATAAGGGGTGTGCGTCGCACGGTGCCGTCAGGAAGCTTGTCAATTTGCTCTAATTGCTGTGAGCCTCCCTCTGGTCCTATGGGCACCACGAGTCGACCACCAGGTTTCAGCTGTGCCACCAACTGCAAAAAAGGATGGTCTTAAAATTTCGCCTTGCAATTGACGATGATTAGGGAGGGGATTTTTATGCCCTAAAAAATCTTGAAATATGTTTTTAAAAATATGCATTTACGACCTAAAAATTCTGAAACAAGCACTTTAACAAGCAATTAAAATGAACAATATTTCATTTCGTCTTTTAAGCCTTGATAAAATTCAGAAGAAGCATGCTTGGAATGAAAAAAATACTATTTTTGTACAAACATAATATATTCTACCCCAATTTGCAAGTAAATATTCACCTTAGTGAAGTACATTGTATGTCTTGTTGAATTTCTTTTGACTGATTTGAAAAGTATGTTATCAATGAATATCCTACATTTGGACAAGTATTTTATCATTTATATAAAACAAAAAATCCGAAACTGTGTCAAGCTCTTTTGAATCAATGAACGTGCACAAATAACTAGATTCTATGAAATGATGAAACAAATCATAGATAAGTCTCTAATTTAACGAAATATGCAAAATATGTGCCTATATTTACACGAATATGCACGGAACAATCGGACAAATGTGTAAACGTATTAATCCATGAACCATCTTATTCTAACCAAAAGTCACAAAATTTCACTTAACTATGCACTGAAGCAACATGCAAAATCAGAAATCCGCTCCCTAATGATGATCATGTTGATGCTAGTGGTGGTATTCATGACAATGATGACAAGAGAGAAAAAGTTACAGGATATGCTTGGAATACACCCCAATTTTAACATACAGGTGCATATAACAAACCCATATGGTTACATGTTAACAGAGGTTAAAGAAGCATGTGTCCGATAAACATAATAACCTTTAATGAAAACCCTTAATAAGATTTTTTGATAAATTTCAATTATCATTTAAAATAATATATTTTACTTAGAAGGTTTTCAAAATTTCTTGAAGTTCCAATCAAATACTTGCACTTTGCTTTTAGCTGTATACCAGTCTTCAAACATTCAACATAACACTGCAGTTGTGATGTCCTTTACGATGTCCACAGCAAAAGGATTTGCAAGAACCATATCACTATCCACGGTCTTAAAATCACTGAATCTATTATATTACGTGTGAATTCTATTCACTCTGTCCTGTGTGTGTGTGTGCATTGTCTCCTATAATCATCGTAAAGGGAAAAATAATTGAGTGTTGCTCCTGTGCACTGCACTCAGGAGCCAAAGGAGCATGTTCTACCACCCTGCAGTCCCCACTCAAAGCTATTTGTTTCGCCACTGAGTGACAACCATCCCCTTACTCAAACAACACAGCTCGCAGGTGATTTTCCGGGATCGTGTAAAGAGAAATAGCTCAAGGACACTTTGTGAGCTACTGTGTAGAACAAGCCTTCTCCAGAGACTAAACAAAAGTAGCAAAAACAAAAAGGGTTTTATGCATTACAAAGTTTTACTGGTTTTTCACAATAGAGCGATGGTTTATTTATTTTTATACATTCTGATAAATGAAAAAGATAATACTATCCAATTTGTGTAACCCTCTTTATTATTGTTACTTTCAACCAAAAAAGATCAGGAGTCTCTATAAGTTTTACTGTTCATACATTCTACAATTTATAAACTATTGAGAATGACAATGTACGACTCAGACACCTGATCAGAAGCGAAAACAAATGAATGCGGGACCATCTGCAAAACTTTTATCCAGTCTCCCTTTATAAAAGTGTATAGCAAAATTGAGTAGTGTTAGTACCTTAAATAATAAAATTATTCTTTAAGAAACTTGAATTCATCAGTTTATGATTAACAACAACTAGTGGAAAAAACCTGCATTTATTATTTAATTTTATACGATTATGACAAACATCTTTATGAGATTATGACTATAAAACCTTCATTGATTTAGAAACAAGGTTACATAAGCTACCAAAGCAGGAAAAAAAATAGTTTCCTGGAAGATGCTCTTTTTAATCTTTTATTGCATCAACTATCGCAAAAGTATCGGAGAAAGTATCAAATCATTAATGTCTTACAATCACAAAACCTTCAGCCTAAAAGTAGGCCCTCTTTTACCTGGGCCCACCTGCATTGTAGGTCTTGTAGGCCCGAACGTTACACCACTAGAGCTGCTGTTATTGTTGATTAGAAAACATTTAAATGGTGGCAACAGCAGTCAACATAAATTTTGATCTCTCAAAAATCTGTTTCTGACTGTCTCGATGATTAAAAGGGAATTATCTCTACACAGGGATCCTAAAGTGCATATTTGGTTGGGTATGACAAAATTATTCAATGCATATTTTTGAATTTAAAGAAACATACTTACATAAAATAACAAAATTCGTGCAGATAAATAAAATTTCTCGCCTAATTCCCACTTTCAACACTTATTATACACCCAGGTGATGTTACAATATTTATTCGTAACTAATGGGGGGAAAAATTGTTTTTTGCCAGAGCAAAGTTGAGGGTTTTTTGTACACTAATATATCTTAGCAAAAAAACAATGGTGATCATTCAAAAAAAAAATCTTTCCATTCACTTTTTTTCTTCAATCATATAAAGAGGCTTATCTATGTATAATTTGTTTCAAAATGTCTTTTTTGCACTGTGTTGACATTTTACAGTGATCTCATATGTTCCTGATGTCTCAAAAAAGACCAACTTCATACACATGTAGTGGCAAATAAAATATCTCAATTTTATATAATCATAGGAAAATAAATTTTGAACTACAGACTCACAGCCTCTGGAAGATTTGGAGCAGCTGCACCAACGTGAATAGCATTGTAAGGACCATCAGCTTCGTATCCTTTACGGCCATCCCCAACTGTAACATGTTAAGACTGAATTAATACACAAGCAAACTAAGCACGCGCATAGGTCCTGTCCTAATAAGTTTTGAAACGAAATTGTAGTTTTTCAAAAATATGTAAAATTAATTTTGACTTTTATTAACTATACACAAATTTATATAAAACTGAGTCTCATTATATATCATAGGCTATACACTAAAAACACTACAGCACTAAAATGTAGATGAAAATTATTTTAAATTACATTAGTACGCATGCATATATTGTACTTATTCTAAATGTAATTCCTAAAATTATACAAGTTTGAGTTGTTTATCCATTGTAAATTTGATTACTAACATTTGGCGGCGATGGTGTAACGGTTAGCGTACTGGACTGTTGTACCCAAGTTAGCGGGTTCAAACCCGATCGAAGCCGTGGATTTTTAAGGGCGAAAAAATCCTTCGTACGCCTTCCTTCGGAAGGGAAGTAAAGCCGGCTGTCCCATGTTCGTAGATTTACTTGCATGTAAAAGATCCTCAAGCCTAAATGACGCCTCTGAGCTAAATTCAAATCGCCTGTTTCTCGCCCAAGAAATACCTCCTTTCTCTCCTAGTTGGTGAAAGGAGCGTAGCGGAATTTGCGTGGTCAGACGGAAGAGCGGGCCTGATGGCCCGAGTCTCGCCACGTAAAATAAGGCAAATTCAATTCAATTCAATTCAATTCAATTCAACATTCAATATTTCAAAATTATGAGGGACCCATTGTTTAGTAATCTTCAAGGCCTCTTAAGATAATTATTCCAACCCTGTGCACGCACATACAAGTATGCCCTAGAAAATACACATTTGGACACCCCACACACAGAAATTTGGGTTAAATAATGTGTCAAAATTTTGAAGAAGATGTTTTACAAATAATATATAAAAATATCAAATTAGTTTTGAATGCTCTTATGTCAAATGCATACTTCTTGAGCTTTTTTCAAAAGAAAATACTGGTTTGTGACACTTGCTATATTAAGCCTTGTACCTTGTTTCAGGTCATTTCTGACTGCACCAGTAATTTAAAGTTAAATATTATTATGACTCATTTTATTTATAGAAAATCATGATCCACTTATGCTATTATTGGTTCTTCTAATACCTAATAAACAAATCAATTCTTTTTTAGGAAATATTTTAATATAAGTAATGTGTATTTTATGACACAGGGTCACTATTGACACTATGCAGAAGTTATGATCTTTTTGTCTCAACTTCTTGTGTGTTTGTAATTCAGCTTTTGTGTTGGATGTTCTGTTGAATGGCCCATTTGGCAACAGCGGTGCATTCATGAATTAGTACTAGAAGCAATGTGTATTGTTTACTCAGTTCAAACACTTTCTTCTCTCTGATGTCTGTCAGATACAGTGAAGATTATAGTGACCAATAACTCGCAAAAGATTTAAAAAAAAGAAGATGGACATACAGAAAGTGACACAAGTAATACGAGAAGTGATTATACAGAAAGCGAGGAAGAGATTACACATATTATTGACTGTGAAGACTGTAAATTAGTGACACTTCACTTACTTGCAGAAATGGTTAAATATGAATGGTATAGTACAATTCCTACTAAAGTTAAGAAGTAGGGCTCCAGTAATATACTGAAACAAAGTGCAACAGTGCCTTGAAGAATAAGAGAAAAAGTGATAAGAAGAAATGTTTCAATGCCTATTGGTCTTCTTGGGGGTAACAAAACAAATCAAATAAATTGACACAATGTTTAGATGTATCTTTCTAGAACAGCAATTTGGTGGTTTAGTAAATCACTGATTTAAGGACAATTTTTAAATGATATCATTTAAATCACTGATTGTTTAAGATTAGAATACTTTGCCTTCGGTTCTTCTCCATGATTATTGGTAAGATCACATATTTCTCATATCCTCTGTAATGTAGCACAAAAAAAAGCTTCTTTTCTTGTTATCGCTTCATCTCTTATTCTTTGAGGCACGGTTGCATTTTGTTTCAGTATGTTTCTGGAGCCCTACTTCTTAGCTTTGGAAGAATTATACTGTACACTTATTTCACCATTTCTTCTAGAAAGTGGAGAGTCACTAATTTTAAATCCAACCCAGTTGTTTTCTCAGGTAATAACACCTGAAATCTCTTCCTTGCCTTCTATATAAACACACTATTTGCTCCCAATGATACAGCAGTGACATCAGTTGAGGCTCTAAACTTCCTTTGCCAGTACTGGAAGTGGTCTAACTGTAAGGACGGAAGGAATAGATGGACGCACGCAGGTTAACAAATTACTATGAGCAGAATGGCATGCATAAAACAAAATCTTACCAATGAGCTTCACACGACCTGATGTCAACAATGATGGCTGGTCTTTTGCAACGTTCTCTCGGGACCACTCCACTAGTTCGGGGATGTGGTCGATGCCAACAGCTCGACCTGATTCCCCAACCATCAATGCCATACACACTGTGAGATAGCCTGAGCCAGAACCAACATCTAGAGCATGTTCACCCTCGGTCAAATGATCTTTCAGCAACTCCAAGGCATGTGCATGCTGAAACAAACCAAGAACGGTAAGAACTCACATTGATAATGTAACACGTCACCTCACTTATTTGTATTCATTTTTCTCCTCAAGAATAATCCGCGAACTCACTGGAGAGGGAATATTCTGCAGAAAGACTGAATTATAGCCTGCTACTCAATGGAAACATCTAAAGTGGGCAAATAAATAAATAAATAGATCAGTTGTCTACAACTTGATCTTCGTGAGTAGTACATTTTTATTGCACAAATAACTAGTTCTTTACAAGCTTTTTGGAAGTGGATTTTCTTCAGTGTATCAATGGCTAACTAGAACTACAGAAATCTTATCTGCCTACTTTGGAAACCATACATTCTACAGTACAAGAGAATATACATCATAAACATGCATCTACAACAATATACTAATAATAACTGAATATTCTGTTCCGTGTTTGACAACCTTAAAAACTATTATTGGATGTATAGAACAGATCCAGCCCAGATATCAAGCTTATTTTAAAACTATTTTCCCCCCTTAATAATTATTATTGTTTTTTCATTTCAGTCTGCTTACACTGCCACTTATAAAATTAATATATTATTGCATTGTATTATATTCTTTTCCATTATAAATTATATACAAATTTTCTGTATTCTATTTAACTGACAAAACAATCTCAAAATTATGGCATGTTTGAGAATTGATAATAACTCTGCAGATGACTGTAAGTACATTACACTTTGCAAATATATACTCTATTCAGGAATACACTAATGCATTTTGGAGGAACCAGCAGCTCTTGGAACTTCCTACACCCAGACAAGAAAGGACAATAACAAATGTTGACAGACTACAATCATGCAGGTTAGTGTTCTTTCCCTCCTTTCAAGCCTATGTATTCCTCCACGAACTATGTTTAGAAAAGAAAATTGCTAATGAAAAATTGTATTAATAAATACAAATTTACATCAATTTAAGAGTGGACAACAAATTATCACTCATCATAAAATATGCGTGGACTTTTTAATTTAGATCAGATATAAAAAAATTGCATTAGACCTTTTCACTTGAAACCAAAATTCCTAAGAGATTTATTTATCCTTAATCACTTTAAAAGTAGAAACAGGCTTATTAAAACATCAGTTATTAAATTTATTATTAAATTATTGTAAGTTTATTTAAAAAAATAAAGAAAATATATATTTGAGGGGTTTGGTGCAATACCACCCTAACCCCACAAAATCTTTAAATTGGAGGTACTTAGTTTCGTGCCCTTGAAAACTACTCTTGCGACCACATTACTGAATAGCTGGTGGCACCATCTATTAGCAAGATTTAGAAAACAGGCATGCTTCGTTCAAAGAAATTTTATCATTTTCTGTTGCAATCCCCCCCCAGCAATCAAAATGCACTTATTGTTTTATACAATTAAAATCATCAAAAAACTTAAAACATTGTTATAATTGTTATAAGCTTATAACAATATTATTAAAACTAGTAAGATTAACAACTGTTTTCATTAGCTATAACAATATTCATTTTATTCCTTAAATGAGTTAATAAAATTCCATTTTTATTAATACTCATCATTTTTAAGATGAACTTTAAGAGACTTTATCAAACATTTGAATACAAATCTAGAATTATGGACACCATTTAAGCTTTCTCTAAACTAGCTCAGTGGGTGTTAGGATGGTATTACTGCTAAATCTACCGTCAATTAAATGCAGGATAAAAACTAATTGATCATCTAGGCCTATTAGTATATAATGCAACTACAAATTGTTTATTGTTCTTTGTTTCATAAGTTTGTTCACTTTATTTCCTCAAAATTGTTCAATTATGTGAAAAAGTTTTTAATAATATAATATATTCTTCATATCAACTTTGTAATTGATTGAAGTCTTTTTATCTAAGTAATTTTTATTTTAAAAATGTTTAATATACAAATGTATTTTCAAATATTTCAATTAATAAAAATAGATTTAAACCATTGATTTTTTAATAATCATTTGATTTAAATCACACCAGCCTTACTATAAAAATTACCAATATTCAATACATCCTAAAAATTAACTTAAAACTGAAAGGTTGTGAAGAGAGCACTATTTCTAACAAAATTCAATAAAAATATATAGCCTAAGATAAAATGTATCTTGAACAGAGCATTAGGAATATCTAAATGTGAATAGGACCTACTAGGCAAGTTAATCCATAGGGATGCCCATTTTGTCAACCTCTGTTGGTGGAGGTCAGAAAAAAATCAATGAATTGCCTATTGGAATCTATTTGCATACCCCTCAATGCTGCCTGCAACAAATCATATTAAAAATTGAAATTAAAAACTGAACAACATACACTTCGATCAAGACAATTGGCAGCTTGACACTCACCCGGATTCAATATGGATACAATTCCTTCACTTAAAATGGCAATAGAGTTTGTCTAAATAAACATTACCCTTCTGTAACTTCCTTCAGCCCTGTGTCCCCCCTTATTCCATATAATAATAATAAAATTGTCTTTAATAGTGGCGAGGCTCAGGCCATTAGGCCTGCTTGTCAGCCTAATTACTAAAATCAGGATCCAACAATATACTTAATTATTATGTCTGGTAAACCAAGAAAATGCGCCAAAATTAAATAATATTTATTTTAAAAAATGAACTTACCATGTGAGGTGCACTTATTGTAACTCCATAACCAATTCCTTGAGGAGCATCCATGTACGGGTTGTACTTTGCATATTTTCCTCGATCCACCTTTAACATAACATTCTCCACTCCTGAACTTCTAATAATGCCATTGGCTGAAAGTTATAGGGTAATTAGTTTAATAAAAATTTATTAATGACAAGTGTGATGACATAAAAATGTAACTTCTGTAATATCCACACAACTACCTTTTAAATTACGGACCATATCGGCATTGTTTTTTCCGTGAGATCTCCACGCCATTGCAGAGAAGAACGTTACGCTCAAACAACCTACAGCAAGCAAGAACGTGGGGGTCTGATTATGAAATAACACCATAACCTGAAAAAATCATTCAAACAACCTAACGTTATGTCATTAAAACTACAAGACTATATGGAGTGTGAAATCATACAGTTCTGCGAATGACAATCCTCCAAACAACATCAATTATTCGTAAATTAAAATCTATAAACAACATAAAAATATACTGCAAGCAATAAAACCTTTGATTCTGAAATATGGAACTGGGGTGAATTTTCTTACAACTGCAAGAGACATTCCATTGACACAACACACGGCAGAAAACTGTGACACATTTTTTAAAATGAAATAATTAACCATATATAACTATTTTATTGAATTGAGCTATGTTTTCGAGCGGTCCAAAATTGGGCGCGTTCAGACCGTTGGCGTTGACCTCCACGAGAGTTCATATGTCACTTTCAGAATTAACACTGTTTCTTTTCCAGCACAGACATCATTTATTTATCGTAAATAAATTTAATAGTTAATCTTCACACATTTAAACACAGTACCTTGACCTACCTAAACACTCAAAACCCAGGGAATAATAAACATGCCGATGAGGTCTGTGGAATACACACTACAGCAGTGTCAGTTATCAGTCACTAGTTTGACCTACGTATTGACATCGCGGGAATTTAGAATCATAATTACTGTCGGCGCTTCAAGGCGATTATAGATATTTACACAAATATTTCATATTATTATATGTTCTTTGTTTAATACTACAAAAGTGTGTGCAAATTGTGAACGAACAATACAAACTATAATAAAATACTAGCATAAAATGATGTACCACTCATTTATAAAAAGAGTTTCTACAGGTTAGGGCAGATTCAGAAAGTACAGTCGACTCCGGTTAAAGTGAACTCGGATATAGTGAACTCTCCGTTCTAATGAACTTAAACCACTGGTTCCATTTCACTTACATTACAAACAAGTACCAGAAGATTCGGCTATAGTGAACTTTGAACTTTGGCTATAGGAAACTTAGTACAACATCCTGGAAATTATTTTCCTCCTGAGAAAAGAAAAAATCGTCTCAGAGCCACAAATTCCAATGCTAGGCACATTAGAAAAAAATATTGTCGAGCAAAGGTCATGATCGAAAAAGTCTCCCCTGAGATGGAGGTAGGGGAGTCGGAAAGGGGACCTTAATGATGATTCTGGGCCACTCAAGTTTTACTGCGGAAACAAAGGCGATGTCCTGCGTGTGCTATAACTGGCGGCGGCGACGCGCAATTGTTTGTTTCAGTTTCAAGCTTGATGTTGTTTAATGTTCCACGGGAGAAAGGCTGTGATGCCCTACGTAGGCCACAGGATGCGCGCATCTGCCACAGCCCCACAGCCTAGCGACACTCGTCGCGCTGCGCGGACAAGCGATCAGTTTCATTAACCGCTTGCGCCATTCCGCTTCCGAAAAGATCTCGAATGTTGTTAAGCGAATAAAAAGGTCCTTTGGAGAGTGGGACGATGTTCCAACAGTGCAAGAGCAATTGAAGGGAGTCAAAACTGCATTACGATATCTAGACAGTGTACAAGGCAGTATCAAGTATGGAGACAGCACAATCTTTAGAGCAGGATCTAGAGACATTACTAATAAAAATCGTACAAAGTAAACAACTGAAAATAATTGATTTTTCAAGGTTCTCAAATAAAGATATTGAGGTTATCATGTTAGTAATGTATTTTGCTGTGGGGAAAGGAGGAGAATGGTAAGAAATAGGGAAAGGAGGAGAACGGGAGGAAATGGGTAAAAGGGAGAATGTGAGAAAGGGATAAGCGGATAATGGAAGGAAATGAGTAAAATGGGAGAATGGGGAAAAAGGGAGAGGATGGGAGGAAAATGGGAAAGGAGGAGAATGGGAAAGTAGGGGAAGAATTGAAAAAAAGGGAGAGAACGGGAGGAAAGGGGAAAGGAGGAGAATGGGAGAATATGGGGAGAATGGGAGGAAATAGGGAAAGGAGGACAATTGGAGAATAGGGGGACCATGGGAGAGAAGGAGGAATGTGAAATGGGGAGCGGGGAAGGGAGGTGTGTAGTGTGTAGTGGAAAAGTAGGAAGAGGAAGCGATAGATTTCCACTAGTAAACATTATCTCATGATATAGTCACTACATTGCTGTAAATACTATTCATTCATTATTAATCTGATATCTTATAGGATTTTTCTATAAAACATCCCTTAATCGAACTTCTAATGAAGGTTCACGCCATTCTAAAACATCCTTACATGTTTCGTAGCCTTTTGTAAAGTTTCAGAATCTAGAACATTCAGAGGTACCCAGAACTTTCAAGATTTTTTATACGCGTCAACATCTAAGTACATCAAATATTCTTCTTTGTGAGGTAGGTACCGGAAGCGATAGCTCAGCTGCAATATTTGCCTCTGCAGCATCGCTGACTGGGAGGTCCTAAGGTTCGAGTTCTGACGGTGGCAGATTTTGTTTGTCACTAGTTGACTAGTTGCATGACTTCGTCGAATTCAAACCCTCCTTGGACGGCTGCTCTGCTGATTGATAGTTTCCCGTGGTTGCTACGACCAATACCACATGAACGCCGGAGCAGTACCTTCACAAACGGGCCATGGACCGGTGGCGATTTTTCATTCTTCGTCCTTTTCTCCTTTCTTCTTAGACACACACACACACACACAAACACATCCATGTTTAACTCTACTGCAAGGTTCGGGAGACTTGTCGGAATCTACTTGGTACGGCAGGGATGTTGCCCTGCGGTGGGGGAGGGGGGATCTGGAAATTCACACTCCGACGTGTAAGTGGACACCGCGCCGTTTTCACATGCCAGTGGGAGAAGAGCTTTCCTGCCATAATACTACACTTACGGAACTAGTGACCTAATTAGTTAACGCGCTTAGATTTATTATTCAATAGTTACCAGATTTTTCTACAAAATCTTAAGACATTATAATAGTCCTTATACAGTATTTGAGTAAAACTCGGAGTGTGCTGATGTGTGCGGTTCCGTCACTCGCGGCTAGACCACCAATCGAGACGTGTGAGGCGACATTCGACGCATCTTGATCACCTGACGGGGAACTGATTCTTTGTTTTCGGAACCGGCCAAATGATTCAAGGAAATTTCCAAAAACGTGTTTTAAGGCCGCGATCTTAGTGATAATGCCAGGAATTAAACCAACGCCTCCTAAATCGATCTATGAAGGTGGCGTTGATTAAACACCAGTATCCAAACGTATTTTTCTCAAAATACGCCATAATTTTTTTAAGACGCTGGCAACACCGATGTTATTTTTAAGTGAACAACAGAATTATCAAGTAAATCGAGATGCAGTTTGGTTTCAATTTAGATTCAAATTATCGTATATTAATACATAAATTTGCGAAAACTTACGAACAGTATTGCATCGATACTTATTAAACTTGAAGAATTTCAAGTGAATTTGGAGAAAACCAAACTGCGAGTAATGCAAGAGAATTAATGAATGTTCGATTTATGTTCGATTTCTCACTTTTTCCTTCTTACAGAAGTGTGCAAATATCTATTTTCAAATGATTGTGAACCATAACCTTTTCTTATTAAACTTAACTAACACCTTATTCATATAAATATACAAAATAGTATCCTTTTAATGTTAGATTCGCATGCAACGCTAGATTCGCATACAAAACGATTAATAGAGCAATTGCAGAAGTAGAACTGAGCACAAATTAGACTGAGTATATGAAGTTTTAATCTCTTCAAAACTTAGAGGAGAAAAATGTGGAAGTGTTAAGCAAATACAGAGAAAAATCAAATGCAGCTGTAAAAGAAGTTGTGACAGGTTTTTCGTAACTAATTGGGAGTGATCTCCATTTTTGCATTCAGTATTTGTGCTAATGCAAATGTGCTATGTGCATTTTTAAATATTAGAAAAAACAAACTTAAAATGTAGCTGTACTAAAATATAACTATTAGCATCAAAACCTGCAAATATTTGTTACGGCGATTATAATTTTGAAATTGCAATAAGATGAGTTCGTATCCCGTATGGAGGTAACACACAAGGGCAAGGGGATGGGAACTTTTGAACGGGAGTATAAAATTATCAGCTACTACGATTCATTGGTAAGTCCAATGACAGATTCTGAAAGAACATATTTCAACAAAGATGGACATGAAAGAAAATTTCAACACATCAAAACTATTTTTAAAACAGTACACAGCGTCGGCAACGTCACATTTTACTAGTACATAGTAAATGTCTGAATATGAAATAGATAAAACAAATTTTCGACTAATATTACAAATAATTTTTATCTGTATTATTAGAGTATGTGTTATGATTTCTATATTATCCTTAAGTTTAGGTTGTCGGTAACATTGCCTCCAAAAAAAGTAATAAAAATTGATTTGTTATATTGACCGAAAATAATATATTTATTTTTAAGGGAACTAGTTAAAACTCTCCACAAACGTGTTCATAACTGGATGAAAATCAAACTAATTTTAATTTTGTTTATTAATTATGCATTATTTCTTCTAAAAAATATTTTTGGTAATTGTTATCAGCGGGTGGTTATATTACAATTAGGTTAGGCTGACCCGCCGAGCATCGCAGCGTGGCAGGTCTCTTACCCCTTAACTTAGCAAGAAAAGATTGACTTGTGTGAAAAAATACTTTGTGACAAAGTATTTACTATTGTGGTCTATATGAAGAGAAAATAACAAATAACAACGTATAACAACAAAATAACAATAACTTATATTGCTGTTATAAGTTACAATTTGTTAAAATCTCTCACGTGGCTATTTCATTTAATATTGCGTTTGTATTTTGAGAGATACTCTGTCAATAACATGAATTATTTGCGAAGAAGTAATGATATATCAATTAAATATCCAATAAGCTACATATATTTTGTATTTTAACGCATTTTATACTTATTAGGAAAATCATTCTCACACTATTATCACAATTTCGTGCTATTGTTTCATTTTCTATTACATTTCACATTATTTTCATTATACATCATAAATGTATATATATA